ATGGCCTTTGCTTCCGTTGCGCGCTTCATGAGAGAGAAAATCCAGACCTCTGAAACTGAAAACACTGAGATTGTATTCAAAATGCCTGATCTTCAAATTCTTTATACAAACAGCCTAGCAAATCTTCTGGGCGTGGAAAGTAAAGACCTTCCAAGTACACATACTACCCGTCTACGTGAGAGAATTCTCAAACATTTCCTAAAACTCAAAGCTCAACTTTCAGGCAGAGAATGCTTCCTGCACCGAGATGATGCTAATATTTTTCAAAATGTTCATTCTGAAAACCTTGATGATGATGCTGTTGCATGTGAAAGATTCATTAAACAAATTAGAAAAGTAATAACCCAGAAAAAAGTTACTTTTAATGGTCACCGTAATGATGATCAACAAACTGCAAGCGTTCCTCCAGAACTTCTGGCTGTAGTGTGTTATTTATTCCATGGTGACACTTCAGCAGAGAACACAACTAGAGCAACTCAGCCTGCTTTGACTATCAGTCAATTAAAATAGGTAATGCGCCGGTTGAGACCACCCTCCTCCTTTTCCCTTCCCCCTCCCCTTCCCCGCCAGTCTCATTAAAAACCCATTAAAAAGTCATTAGTGTTAATGACTTCCGGGTCAAATGAGGTCATTCAATTAAAAAACCATTAGTGCTAATGATTTCTCGGGTCAAATGAGGTCATTCAGTCGGTTCAAGGTATCTTCCCAATTAAAATCTCATTAAAAACACATTAAAAAGTCATAAGTGCTAATGACTTTCGGGTCAAATGAGGTCATTCAATTAAAAAGCCATTAGTGCTAATGATTTATCGGGTCAAATGAGGTCATTCAGTTGGTTCAAGGTATCTTCCCAATTAAAATCTCATTAAAAAACGATTAACTGTTGGCTCAAATAATGTCATTCAATTCAATTAAAAAGCCATTAGTGCTAATGATTTCTCGGGTCAAATGAGGTCATTCAATCGGTTCAAGGTCTCTTCCCAATTAAAATCTCATTAAAAAACGATTAACTGTCGGGTCAAATGAAGTCATTCAGTGGAAAAAATTTCAAGGCCATCTAAAATCTCGTCTGGTAATTAAAAAACCGGTATCAACGCCCCAAAGCAAAATCTGCACCTGTTGTCGAACTGTCGGGTCAACTGATGTCATTCAGTGGAAAAAATTTCAAGGCCATCTAAAATCTCGTCTGGTAATTAAAAAACCGGTATCAACGCCCCAAAGCAAAATCAGAACCTGTTTTCGAGGTCGCCCGGCGAAATTAGTTCGGGTCAAATGATGTCATTCAGTGGAAAAAATTTCTAGACCATCTAAAATCTCGTCTTGTAATTAAAAAATCGGTATCAACTCCCCCAAGCAAAATCTGAACCTGTTGTCGAGGTCGCCCAGCGATAAGTAATTAATTCGGGTCAAATGATGTCATTCAGTAGAAAAAAATCAATAAAATCAGGGTTGTTTATGGAAACAAGTTTTTCTTACCATATACACAACCCCATATACATAAACCCTTTTTTGTGGGGAAAGGGATAGTGGGCACAATTAAAAACTTACTTATCAACGAAATTAGTGAGAAAAGTGAAATTTTCAGGTTTTTGAAAATTGTGAAGAACCCTTAAGGTGTAGAGATAAATGTATAGGGACAAAAAAGTGTACCCTTTACAAGAGCTTTCAAACAAAAAAAAATAAAATCGAAATCGGACAATTAGGAGTTGAGATACAAGAAAATTAGTGCAGCAAATGGCGGCCATCTTTAATGGCCGCCATTTTGGTGTTCTACACGGATTTTCAAGTGGCTCCCTATCTGGAAAGTTACCTTTTGGCATCAAATGTAACCACAGAAAGTGGCACATTCCAATCAAAAAGTGCAGCTTTTTTTGGTGTACCTGACGTACTAACGGGCGGATATCTGAAAAGAAAAGTATGATTAGCAACGACTTGCGTTTCAGTTCATAGATAGGATAGGAAAAGTGACAGTCTATGACTTGAACGCACAGCGAGGTCAAGTAAACTGGATATTACGGTATTACCACTGGGTTGTACGGATGGATATCTGAAAAGCAAGGTATGATTAGTATAATCGGACAGTAGCCAAGTATTTACCTAAATTGTTTTAAATTTTTTACTCACTTCCTTTCTTCGACACGTCTGTACTGTTGTAACGGTAGGACTGGACTCCTCGTTGTTATGAATGGAGATGAACTGGTTTCCAAACTTGGCTCTATAGCTAAGTCTCTACGGAGAACGTTGGCGGCTGCGCAGTCCTCTTCAGCGGGGCTTGTACAAATCTTACTTGATTCCAACGGTTACGTTTCTATTCCTTGGGCTGATGATGAGCTCGATTGGGCGCTGCGACGACTCGATGCGGACTGAAGACTGAATCTCCAAATGCAGCTTGTTTGCTAAGTTCCTGTACCATCGACATCGCTCTGGCGGCGTGTCGGGTTAATTCAGACGGCGTGAAAATTGCAAATATCGGTGCAGTAATATGTATTTATTTTAAAATAAAATAAACAAAAATTGAAAATGACTTCGTTACAATGTGGTACGGACATATCTAGATGAAACTTTTCCTGATAAATGGATTGGACGCAGAGGGGCAATTGAATGGCCAGCTAGGTCTTCCGATATGACGTCGCTTAACTTTTTTCTGTGGAGTCACATAAAAAATATCTCCAGAAATAGGCCCGTGAACAGTTTGAGCACCTTATAAAATAGAATTTTAAAGAAAATATTTTGTTGTTTATTAAAATTTGTTTTCTTTTTTTTATTCTAGCATAACTATTGTTTTCATAAGATTTAAAATATCCAGGACATTCTTTAAAAAATACATTTTTTCGTTTCATGCATTTTTATCAACTATTTATTATGCGTTTTTATATTCTTTAAACTAATAATAAAATTAAATCATATCTATATCCTCCACCTTGTGTTATTGCAAAATAAATATCCATAATTTGAGGCTCCTTTTCTTTTATAAATTTGAGAGTAGTAAAAAGTTTGATGTCTTTGATATCTCGAAAACGGTTAATTTAGGTATATGATGTGCTATTTGAACTTTATTTAGAGTTTCGATAAGAATAATTGAAATATGGAATAATATACAGAGTAAAATTAAAGAATAAACAACTTTATTTCGTCCTGACTTTTTGAGTGATCATGCTTAATTTTTCTTTATTGTAATAGACTAGAAAGGTAGACATGTCGACATTCGCCGACTTGACCTTTCGTTTGTCTGCGGCACTCGGGCCGCCCTGCGCGGTGCTCTCTTAATCGGTTGGTAAATATAACATTTTTATGGAAACATGATGTTAAAAAAAAAAGTTCGACCCGTTCGGGATTCGAACCGCGGACTTTCGGCTTCGCAGTCGCGAGTTACACACTGAGCTACAGTGGCCAATCGGTGAGTGGAGCCTGTACGGGCTATTTGAAACTTTGGGTCTTCGCGGGTTTAAACACAAAATTTAAAATGATCAAAAAGTTTTATCGCTATAATATTGCTTTTGAAAAACCAGAGCCAGTGCCTAACTGCAAAATAACGACCCACCGCGTTCCGAACGACCCGAATTCAGTCGGTTTTCGGATTTTCGAAAGTGGGTGTTCCCGTCGGGTTTCGTCTCCCACAGCAAAAATTTGCGTTTTTGGCAGAGGAGCCCCCGGAAATGGGAAGTTTCATCCCAAAGACGTTAAGGAATCCCCTCGAAAACACCCTTCTTGGTTTGGATTTCTTGACACTTTTGATTAATCCATAGCTGCAGCTCTTCCAGGCTATTTACAGGAGTACCATATACTAATGTCTTCAAATATCCCCAAACAAAGAAATCTAGAGGGTTCAGATCAGGCGATCTTGGAGGCCATAAAACAGGTCTGGCCCTTCCTACCCATCTATGTGGAAAAGTTTGGTGTAAATGCTCTCTAACGGCCATGGAAAAATGAGCTGGAGCACCATCATGCTGGAACCACATTTGTTGCTTCTGCTCTGCAAAAAGTTGAGGTAAGCAGCGCCTGTTAATCGGTTTGGTAAAACAGCAGGACCTAGAAACCTGTCACCTACAATACCCATCCAAATGTTTAATGAAAAACGTGCCTGATGTCCAGATTCTATTAGAGCATGAGGATTTTCGTCGGCCCACATATGCGTATTGTGAAAATTAAACATTCCATTTCTTGTGAACCCGGCCTCATCAGTAAAAAGAATGTTTGCAAGAAAACGAGGGTCTTCAGCATCATGACGTAGAAACCAACGGCAAAAAACCAAACGTGCTTGATGATCATTTATTGGATTTAAGGCCTGTACTCGTTGCACATGGTATGGATAAAGCAGTTGCTCGTAAAGGATTCTCCAAACAAGAGGACCACTAATTCCTACCTCGGCTGATATTCTCCGCACACTCGTACCTGGATTCTGCTCTACCAGTGCTAGAATTTCTTCTTCTACTCTAGGAGTGGATACCGATCTTGGTCTTCCGGATAAATGGCACTGCTCAAGGAACCGGTATCACGCAATCTTTGGTGAATTCTTCCAAACATGCGTTGTGAAGGAATCTGGTGATTTGGATAAGCGTCAACATAAAGACGTCGCGCTTCGGTGGCGTTCCCATTAGCACGACCATACATGAAATGCATGTCTGTTAATTCTGCGTTAGAGTAACCAGCCATAGTGAAAGAAAACTTGTGCACTGAGAACAACTGTCAAATATGTACTGTTTATTTCACTAAACATCAACCAACTATTATAAGAAAATACACAACGTTTTTGCAAAATAAGAAAAGGGGCTAAAAACATAAAACATTCCATATCTCCGCAACCGTTACTTTACGGACCCATGTTTATTGAGACTTTTCTGCTTATTTTGGTTCATATTTTACACTCTTTTTTTAACACCCTGTATAATGAATTTGATAAATACTTATTTACCTACTGTTATTAGTTAACATTTTAAGTTAAGTTTATAAAAAGAAAAAATGAACTGTTGGATAACGTAGTTTGATTTAATTTGTAGTCAGTTGCCACTTATCCGCATCCTGATCCATTAGGAGTTATCCATTTAGAGTTCTACGGCCAACGTCCATGGAGACCTGGAAAAGTAACTGCGGAGCCACCAGATCCACAATTAGAATTAAATGGGATACATGCTATACAGTTTCTAGAGAAGCAGATTAACCATTCTGTAAGTAATTCTACGTATATATTGTAATTTAAATTAAATGTTCAGCTGTTTATATTAAAATTTCAGAATATTATTATCGCTTTACATGGGATGGCAATTTCACAATATAAGACTTACAGATGCCCCAGAACAAGGAGACATTTAGTGCTACAAATGGCAGATGAATATTATAATTCTAAAGACTATGGGAAAAGTCTTACGTGAGTATACTAACATTTAGAATTAATTTTTTATTGAAGAAGTATGTTTTAGTTTATTAACCCATATGTTGTGGGACTTCAGAACGGAGAGGTGGTTCAACATATTGTCCCAAATATTAGAAAAAGCTTTAAAGTGTGCATATTTAACTGCTAATATTCAGGATTATGTTCTTTTAGCAGTAGAAATATTAGGCTCATCTGTTTGCATAAGTTTGGATGACAAACGGCGGACTTACGAAAATTTAAATAGAATATTAAAGGTAAAAAGACAAATATTGTTTGAAATGTTGCGTCTAAAATTATATAGGGTGTAACTTTGGGTGGGGGTCATATTTATACAGAGCTGCCTTTGATCTTTAGTAACTGTATCAATAGTTTATATTTTCAAATTCCGTCGTGAAAACTTAAATTTCTTTTAACCTTTTTTATAAAGAATTTTTTTTATAAATTTTCCTACCCCGCCGTTGGACAAGCTAGTGTGACCTCAAAAAACGATGCGCGTCAGTCTCAGTGGATGCACAGCTGGGAACTGGGCCATGCACTGTTGTCAAATCTCATAATTTAAAATAAAGCTTATTAAAATGCAAATTGTCACACCACCTACCGTGCGGCTTTGGCGCATAACTTTTTCTGAGTGGGTGTTCGAGAGGAGGTCTATTATCTCGCATAAGTGAAAATTTAATTCTTTTAAACAAGATAAACTATGAAACAGTACTTAACAAGTAGTCTAAGAGAAAACTCAACCAGTAAATAGTTATTTTGAAACATACGTATTTAATTTTATTTACTACTACTATAATATGTATACGACTCTAGAAACGATGTTGCTAGAAGACAATATCAAAGGAATTGACCGACAAGTACCGAATAAGAAAATGTTTGTAAGATTGGTTTAACATTTAAAAGATTCTGGGAGCTTTGAATGTCAATACGTTAATGTTGAACGAGAATAAACTCGGAGAATGAGAAACTTAGGACGAGAAGAAGAAAAAATTTAATTTTCGTTTCTGTATGATGATAGAGCTTATGGCAAATAATCATTCAATAAAAGTAACGGGCCTAAAAGCAGTACTTTACGGGAGTTATGAAATTTCCCAAGTGTGTATGCACTGAATGTGAGACTAACATCCGTTGAGGTCACACTACCTTTTCCAGCGGTCGGGTTAAAAAATTCAGATTTTGCTACGGAATCTGAGAAAGTAACCTTATAATATGTGTTTCTAAGTGTCAAAGGTAGCTTTTATATAAATATAACCCCATTCAAAGTTACATATCCAGCGTGATTAACAAGTTATCCGAAAAAATTTGAGAATATATGCGTTATGAAAAATGGAGTCGTAAAAAATAATTTTGTAAAATCCTTAGTTTCCGAAAAAAATTTATTGAAGTTGTAGTATTTAAAACCCTTACATCGCTGGGCTACTGTAGTCTCTAGCGTCATTCGCGTTGTGCGCTGTACGCAATTCGGTGTTTCTCCACGTGGCCTCAGGCGATTCCGGATACTGAAGTCCAATTTTAGTCGGTATTACATTACTTTTCCAAGTGTCAAAAATGACTTACGTATTTAGCAACTCAGAGTTGATATCGTTTTAATTTATGGTGAAGCAAAACAACTTTTGTGTTATAGTGAAGTATTTGTATTATGGTGAAAATGACATTTGTGTTATGGTGAAGTATTTGTTTTATAGTGAAGCAAGACAACATGTGTGTTAGTTCTTAGAAACTGGATACGACGGGCCCAAATGTGTTTACACGTCAGTGGACAAAATTTTGAACAGATGTAACGTCCAGTATGTCAAATTATTTTATTAATTCAAATCACAATTTAATTTTATTAATTAATAATAACAATAGCCATTGTTATTGAGAACACTTGGAAAATCGACAAACTCGCTTTACAGCAACGACAGCAAATCTGCTAAATAAGTAATGACACTTGGTGACATTTAAATGTTTTTCCACAGCCAACCTACAGCTAACTGTCGGATTATATTCGTCTCTGTACTTATGTTCAAATATCTCAAAATCGGTGGGATTTAGGTATACGGAATGCTTATACCAATGGAAAGAGAATTAACAGGTGCATCTACTGGCATTATAAAACACAGGGTGTTCTATTTAAAATAAGCGAGTTATTAATCTTTCAATTTGACACAATTGGTCCGTGTTTTTTAGACGCCCTGTGTAACATGCACCAACTTTCAAATATTCCAGATATTTGGACACGTTTTGGTATTGACCATCTAAAATTTCAGCTTCCTATCTTAAAAATTGGAAAAGATAGAACCGATTAAGTGTAGCTATGTTTTTGTCAAAAATTTTGAACAAGTCAAAATATTTCAAAAACTATTGAGTTTAAGGATAAAGTAAGGTCATGAAACTTACCTTAAAATTCGATGTAGAATCCAAAAATTAAATAAAAAATAGTACATTCCATTTGAAATAAGCGAGTTGATGTCTACTTCCGGTAGAACCGGAAGTTCCACGGCGACGCCAATATTTTCAATCGATAGAACATTAGGAGAAACCCCCGTACATAAATTTTCAGAATTCCAGTACGCTTAGTTTTCCAGAAACGTCTAATTGAAGGTCTATCTGGAACACCCTGTATACAGGGTGTATTTAAATGGAGGGGCACAAGTGGTACCAGAGATTCCTTCGGTGAAAATAAGTCGATTTAACCTAACATACCTATATCCCAAGTCACATAATAAAAAAGATACAGGGTGTCAAAGTGAAAAATAAAAAATGGTTTTTCCTTAATAATTTTTATAATTTTAGTCAGAAATGTTTCAAATTTTCAACAGAGAGGTTTTTTAATGATAAGAAAAATAATATAATAATGATTTATGAGTGTCGAGTACGAGGCGCCCTCTGCAGGCAACGTTTTGCATTAAATATGGAGTAACTTTTTTGCCAACCCCCGTATACCGCTTTTAGTAACAAAATATGAAATATTGGACTTTTTTGAACAAAAAAGGAATACTTATTGAAAATGGTTAAAGCCAACCGTTCAAGAGATATTTTTAAATTCATAAATTAGTGTTGCGGATTTATACCTCCACGAATACGAAGGTATAAACAGACACTTTTGTTAATAAATTCAGAACGCATTGCCTCACAGTAATGATGTTTTCTTGTATTATTTTGATCTGTATTTCCCGGGGTTAATGATGAAGTCAAGATTTCGTGTATGCGTTTAAAGGAGCTTTTTGTTTTACAAAAAAGTGTTCCTGAATTATCTTACATATACAAAGAAAAAAAAAGACATCACAGATTATTAATACAATCCTTAAAACAAAATTATTATCAACAGAGAATTATTAATTCGGACAATAAATCGCAATCTGCTTGGAATGTTTTGTCTGAGTTGAGTAATAAAAAACAGACTCATAATAATATTGTGTTAAAAAAAGACGATAATGTATATGATGACCCTAATAATGTAGTTTCTCTGTTTAATAATTATTTTATCGAATCTCTCGGAAAAATAATCAATAAAATTCCTAAAGTAAATATGTTTCCACTCGAAAATCTGATTCCATCTCAAAATAACTCCTTCTTTCTTGCTCCCTTTAATGTAGATGAACTGTTTGCTATATTATCAAATAAGTTAAAGAATAAAAAATCTTCAGGACCAGATAATATCCCTATGTTTTTGATCAAAAGAGTATTACGGCCTATTATTCAACCGCTTGCTTATCTTGTGAATTTGTCATTTGAAGTGGGTGCATTGCCAAATGCCCTAAAACTGGGGAAAGTTGTTCCCGTTCTTAAGAAGGGTGATCCATTGTCTCTTGACAATTATAGACCTATAACAATGTCTTTGGGATTTTCAAAAGTTTTTGAATATGGCTTCCTCGAGCGATTAACATCTTTTTTAAAGAAATATCATATACTTACAAAAAATTAACATGGATTTCGTGCAGGTATGTCTACTACAACTGCTATGCACTCTTTATATGATAATATATTGATGGCTCTGGAAGCGTGTGAGTGTCCTGTTGGCGTTTTTTTGCGACCTCAGCAGGGCATTCAACTGTGTAAACCATACACTGTTATTATCTAAATTACAAAATGTGGGTATTCGCGGATTAGCACTGAATTGGATCAGGACTTTTCTTGAGGAGAGGAAACAATCAGTTATTATTAATTATAATAATCAGAATAATGCTTCTGTAACATATAAATCAGAGTATGCCTCTGTTAAGATGGGAGTCCCACAGGGATCAATTTTGGGTCCTGTGTTATATTTATTATATGTCAACGATATTGACACTATTTCAACTAATGCTCACTTTACTATGTATGCCGGTGGTACATCTTTGGTTTTGTCTAATAAGTCAGATCAAATATTAATGCAAGATTGTCATATTTTATTGGATAATCTGAATAAATGGTTTTCCCAGAATTCATTATATCTTAATGTTGTTAAAACTCAAGTACTCCGTTTTCATACGAGTCGAGCTATTAACTGTAAAAACTTAAGCTTTGATATTAATGATTTTTCGTTGACTAGTACTGATAATACTTACATAAAATTTTTGGGTTTATATTTAGACAAAAACCTCAATTGGAAATATCACCGTCAAAGTCTAATATCTAAATTGTCATCTATTACCTATTTGTTTCGAAATATCAGAACAGTTCTTCATATAGAACACCTTCTTTGTCTGTATTACGCCTAGGTTGAGTCTCGACTGAGGTATGGTGTCTGTTTTTGGAGCAATTCGATATTAGCCTCAAATGTTTTAATTGCACAGAAGCGAATTTTAAGGTGTATGGTAGGAGTTCCCAGTCATTACTCGTGTAAGGATATTTTTAAAAATTTTTAAAATTCTACCTTTACCATGTCTGTTCATATTTGAGATCTGCTTATATGTATTCAAAAATAAAAGTAAATTTGTTTTAAGTGATGCACTCCTCAAGTATAATACAAGACAATACGAATTTACATGTTCCATTGCTAGAATTAGAATAACGTCCAACTCTCCCGACTGTTTAGGTCCTAGGCTATTTAATAAGTTACCTAACCAATTAAAATTGCTGAAAAGTGAATATTTGTTTAGGAAAGCTTTAAAGCAGTTTTTATTGGAAAAATGTTTTTATTCCATATTGGAATTTTTACCTACTTTGTCTTAGTTTGTAAGTTTTATTTGACTATTCCTATACATATTATGTCTCTGAGGAAANTACCTCCACGAATACCAAGGTATACACTTTTGTTAATAAATTCAGAACACATTGCCTCACAGTAAT